CCAATATTACAAGATCTCCTCATAATAGAAGACCCCTTTGGGAAAAAATTTGTGTTCCGCATAATAAAAACCCCTTCCCCATTTATTTAAGATTTTGTTTTTGAGAACTGAAGATTTTCATTAGCTTTTTATCCCGAAACGTGTCTATTCCTGGGATTCTCAGTTGAAAATTTTCAAATTGATGAGTTCAAATCTACATTTAAGATTCGAAAGTCGTGAAAATCCTTTCTCCAATTTTCAAAATCGCTTCGGTTCTCTCAGAGTACCTTTTTAGTTACAAAAACTATCAGTGTAGCCGCTGTGGAGCCGAAGTGTAGTACTCATGAGACTCAGGCTGCTACAGATTTATATTATATTCTCAAAAACGGGTGGAAAAGTTTATTTTCAAAAGATATCAAATAAATGGATAGGTTACAACTATTTCTATCGTTTGAGTTAAAGCATACGCTCTAAAACTTTATCCCAACGAAACTATTTCATTTTGATTTACTCCCTCTTCCTTCGCTCTATTTATCAGATTTCCTGAATATATTTATAATATTAATACAATCGACGCAGAATGTTAAGATTCTAAAGAAACATTGATCAAAATGATTAATTTATAACAGTTTCTATTCGTACATTTCAAACATTTTTTTTTAATGCGTGCTTTTTTTCTTGTTGCTATTCGCTGTATTATTCTTCTGTTAATCGAGATTATCATTATTTCGTATTATTCGATGCAAAGTTTAATTTAATGGTTAAATACGCTTAGTATAGACATTGGTTGTATCTTCGTCAGATCCTAACAATCTTGTATGCATACTATTGTACTGAGTAAGACACAAAATAAATATTTCTAAAAGTTAGAAAGTAGTTTGATCACGCTTTTATGTAACTTATACTACCATTATGAAAAATCACAAAAGATAACCTTTCGCATGAATCGTATAAACTTTTATCTGCGCAAAAAAAGGAGGCTAGCTTTTTGCAAATACTCATAAAAATATTCGAAGTATTGAAAAGCAAAAGGTTCTAGAAATTTCCACAACCTTTTAAATATAAGTGATTGATACGACATGTAATGAGGAAGAGGGAACAAGCTGAAAAACCTTGACTCAAACTTACGGTCACTATTAGTTTCTTCGGAAATATATGTGGGCTATACAAAGCTTAAAAACATAATATTTAGAAGAGAAACTAGAAATTACAGAATTTTAAAATAATGTAGCCACTGATATTAATTACTCCCTATTGTTTGTTGCTGTAGGAAGATATCGTGATGTTTTTCCCAGCATCTGGTTACTATGATAGGAACTGAGAAGCCGTAAATCCTGAACTTAAACTTGCATTTACTAAATTCTTCGAAAATACTCGCGAGTTTCGCAAAAATCCGAGAGTCATAATACAAGACTTCCCTATAAAATTTTTCCGCTTTAACATAATAGAAGACCCTGAGTCTTATATTGTGGGGGAGGAGGATTTACTATAAATAAATTTCATATGTCTTCATTAAACTTTTATGAGCTATCTATTGAAGCATAGTTTTCGTTTATTATCACCTGTTGAACTATTTTCTTTGCTATAGATAACTCTTCTAGATAATGAATTTTTATAATGGATTGTTTTAGAAAAATGTTTCTTGTAAGATCGATACTGAAATAAAAAATAGAAAAAGTCGGATTCATTTTAAGAAGCATCAAAACGAATACGATTGACTCAGGTATTAAGTGAAAGCTTGTAATCGATCAAAATAGTACTAAATCAGAAATTTTAGTCATGAATGATTCGGTTTCGTATTTTGAATTTCAAATTATATTTTTATTTTGTTAATAGTTCCTACAAGAATGTTTAGAATATCTTGTATACATTGGAGGTAAATCATTTCAAATCAAAAAGAGCTTGTCAGGGCAGCCTCATTTGGGGCTCAAATGTGGAACTCACATATCTTGTTTGATTTCATTACATCAATACAAAATATAGAGTGTAAAAACTCTGTAGGGCGATCCTTTTTCTCCCTGATTCTCGATTGCCAGGAAAGATCCTTTTTTTTCTTGATCTTAAGAAGAATTTTTTTTCTTTGAAACAGGCGTCTTGTTTTGCACCTTTATTATTGTTACTTATTCGTGACTTTTCATTGTCCTAATTTTTTAAATTTAAAACTTTCATTATTATAAGAACTGAATACAATCACAAATAATGTCGTTGTAAATAATTATCATATAGTCTAAGTAGGAAAGTCTGTAATGGAAAGTGTCTATAATGATGGATATCTGGTCGCAATGGTCTGTAATGGAGTGGGAAAGGCACTGCAAAAACCTCGCCGTAAAACTTAATTACTAATACTGCTGAAATATATTAATAATATTTTACGTTATAACGATTGGCACATAGAAATATAAGAATAGTCAATCAATTCAATATTATTGCTTATATCATTATTTTATCAGCCTGAGAGTCAATGCATTCCAGTATATTAGAAAAGAGGAAGGTACTGTTCGATTTGCGGAATAAACATCAAATGACCAAGTACCCAGTCGGACTGGGTGTCCAGTTCGACTGGGTATCCAGTCGGACTGGATATCCAGTCCGACTGGATACCCAGTCCGACTGGGTACCCGGTCCGACTGGGTGTCCAGCCCGACTGGGTGCCCAGTCGGACTGGGTACCCAGTCCGACTGGGACCCAGTTACTGGCACTGGTGCACCCCTAATTCATACTCACACTCACAATGCTTGATGTTGAGTTTATCACTGCTGAATTCTCAGTGCCAAGTTCTTTTAATAACGTCGAAGATTCAACTAGTATACTTGAGAATGTGAGCGTGTCTACGAGTGTAGTTAAATCGATTGAAAACAAACCGATCTATATCTCTTTCATATAAATCAATCTGCTGCTCTCAACGCACGCTTTTCAGCAATCGACCTAGTCGAAAATCGAATTAAAATCGAACAATAATAAATATATGTGGTTTGATAAAAATTATTAAAAAGATATGCAGAGTTAATTTCGCCGACGCGTTTCGCGTTAGTTATTAATACATTGAAACACTCATCAGGGCTCTGTATTACAAATACAAGCGGAAAAAAAACCAGGAAAATTCTTTTTAAATTAAAAGATAAAATGAAAAAATAAAATCAAAAGGTTTTTCGCAACAAAGCTAAAAATTTGAATAAAAACTTTTGGTAAAAACTGGATAGGGGGCTTGGATATAAAGTTAAACATCAAATGACAATTACGTCGTGAGGTATATCAAAATTGAATCACAAGAATTTAATTCTAATGATGTAAGTCATAGATTCATATTGAAAAGATCAATTAATAGTAATACCCTAATAAAATTGTGGCTGGCGCTTGATTTTTTTAGTATTGATTTATGAACATTAATCAGTAAATTTTGCTTAATGAAGTTGTTTAATAAGCTCTTTAAGTATAATTGTGTATTATTTATGTGCATGAACCCATACATGGATAAAGGAACATGATGCAACTTTAAGAGTGTGGGTGTGGATGTGGACAAACAGAATATTCAAACTCACACCCACACTCTTGATAGCATATATGTGTGTTTCCTTATTATATTTCTGGAGGATTAAATAAAAGAAAGATAAGGAAATGTGTTCCAATATAGATATACAAACAAAAAAACCAATCTTCCTGTGATTGGCAACAATAGCTACATCGTTTTTCACATTTTAATTTCGCAAGAATAGTACTTAGAGCTTTTCGGCTCAGACACTCAAGATCCTATGACTTTTCATACAGGATTGAAAAATGTCAGTGAGGATTTAGATGTGTATGTGGATGAGCTGAAGAACCTCTTCATCATCCATGTCTATAATGACATTCTGATGTATCTTGTCAGTATTACAGAGCTCAAAGAATGATGTCAAACTTTGAATATAGTCACATTACATTTTAAAGACGTCGAAAATAGATGACGCGATAAAAAGAGCTTGCAAATATTTGTTTACAAACAAATCTGTATTAGAAAAAAAATCTAGTAACACAATTTTTATAAACAAAGACAACACAACATATCGATCAAATTCGTTGGCTTGTCAGTGTGCCGAAAACTTTCTTCCTATCTTTGGTAATTCGCATGTGACTCATGTCACTCAATAAATGCGAGAGATTATTTCACAATTTTTGTCGTCACTAGTTGAAAAACCTTCCAAGAGTGACTCATGTTATTGCATAATCGAAGCGACAATACGTATAAAATGCACAATGCAGACATTCAATTAATCTTACTCAATTACTATTCGACATTCATTCTTTTTCTTTTCGATGGCTACCTTGGTTTTCTACCCCCAAATAACATATTTTCGACAGGCTATTACTGATTCAAAACATTATGTATGTCTCTCCTCTGATGGTTATAATAAACAATTACCCATATTGAATTTCATTGGTACTGTTAAATTACATGGTACCAATGCTGCTATTGGCTACTTAAAAGGTTTCGGCTACTGGTGTCAATCACGAAATTGTGTGATCACACCTGATAAAGATCATGCCGGTTTCACTGAACAGATTTTCCCTTTCGCAGATGAATTTTTCAATGTTTATGTTCTTCCTCATTGTCCAACAATTCGTGAACATTATCAACGTGGTGATAGAATCGTCATTTTTGGTGAATGGTGCGGTGGAAATATTCAAAAAAATGTAGCTATTTGTGGTCTTCCAACTATGTTTGTTATCTTTAAAGTGAGAATCGTCAATCAATTAACAAAAAAAAGAACAAATGCCAATATAAACAATGAAGAGCAACAAGAGACACATTCAAGAACTTTTTGGCTTGACCCAAAAGAATGGGCAAATATAAAATGGCATGAACATTCTATTTATAATATTTACGATTTTCCAACTTACACAATTGAAATCAACTTTAATCAACCAAAACTTTCACAGGATGCACTGACAAAAATTACTGAGGAAGTCGAACGCCAATGTCCTGTAGGTGCTTATTTTAATCGAGTAGGCATTGATGAAGGTGTAGTATGGACTGAATGGACTAATACTGGAGGTGATCTTACTTTCAAAGTTAAAGGTCGAGAGCATTTGGTCACTCAAGCTAAAGCAATAGTTTCTATCGAAGTCACACAGTTTGCCAATGTCGACGAATTCATTAAATATGCATGCACTAAAAATCGAATGCTCCAAGCTCTTGACTACATGCGTGAACAGAGTGTGTCCATAGAAATGAAAAATTTGAACATCTTTCTCAGATGGTTAGGCGAAGATATTTGCAAAGAAGAAAAAGACACTATGAACGTATCGAACATAAACGCCAAGGAGATGATTCGAGCCATGACAAAAATAGCAGAAACCTGGTTCATGGAAACAGTAACAGAAAATCGAAAAAGATCCAGTAAACAAAAAAGAAGTGGAAAAAAATAGGCTATTTTCGGACGAAATCAAAAGACTTCATTCCACTTCAATATATTTAGCTAGTGTATTGATTTTTTGCTGTTTTTTTAATTTAAAAATCTTTCCTAGTTTTATCGACAATCTTCATTATTCGTCAGAGTCATATAGAGATATAAAAAGTTTTACCGAACGTTTTTCAACATAGTGAAGAACTATTCGCACAAAAACCTCAATTAAACCATATAGCCTGTAACAAACTAATCAGTCCGTTGTGAAATCGAAGATAAATTCATCTCTCATGTCCACCATCTTCATCATCAATTAATTTGATATTCTGCCATGCTAATGAGTGGCAATCAAGGTGTGAAGTATTGACCATGAAAGAATGCTTTCTCATGCTTACCAGTAATAATAAAACTTGTCAGAGCGCAGCCTCATAAGCGGCCCAACTGCTGAACTCACAAACTCTGACTTCTCAAACACGAAAAACTAAATAGCAATAGAAACTCTGAAAGCATTACGGATATGAGAACGCAGAACTGGGAATGGGAATGCGGGTGTGGTGTGGGTGGAGTGTGAGTGTGGATGAAGTATGGGTAGATGTGGGTGTGCATGAGTGTCGGTGTAAATGAACAGAACATGCACACCCACCCCCATACCCACCCACCAAAAATATGTTGATATTCAGAGAAATTATTTAACTATACAAACGTTACGTGCCGAAATAGCATTTATTGATGCTAAAGTCAATCTATTGAATTAGGATCAGCAAAAACTCGTGAAGCTTCGTAAGTGCATTAAGTAAAATCTAACTATCCAATATGATCTATTTATATTTAGGTTCTAAATAACACTAATCAAGCTGGTGCTGGAAACGTTGCTGGTGGTGGTAGGCAGTGCTTAAGGACAATATTTTTTTAATATCGTTTTAATTTTAGCGATGTGTTTTTTTACCTTGTCTTTCGAGATGCAATTTGTATTCATTAAAAACAAATTAATTTTTTTATCTCGATTAGGACAAAAAAAGTGAAGTTCATAAAATAAAAGAATAAAAAAACTCTTCATTTGAAGGTGTCATTAAACTGTAATAGCATAAACTCATGTGCGACAAAATAGATTAAATTAAAAATAAGATTTCATGTAATTTTCTCGGCGTGGATCGAATTAGACATCACGATAATCAGAGTTACAAACTAAGGACAACCATTATTTGACTGATCATTTTCTTATCACATAAATCAAACGGAAAATTGAAAGATCAATTCATTTTCGTCTAATAACCAGCCAAACACATGATACATTAAATATATTTGTTGAATATATTTTTCTTGTTCGTATTCATATAGCTGCTCTCTCTTCCTTTTCCACTAACGACGTTATTTTATTGTCGTTGAAACACTCATATATCTTCGTCTGTTGCGTCTATTTATGAAACAAAACTCGTCATGTCTGCTTTTTCACCTTTATGTCCTTCAATGAATATGTTCGACATATATATATGAACTGATATTAAATTTTCTATATTAGAAATAAATCAGCATTTGACTGAATTGTATCAACAGACTTTCTTTCAGAGATTGTTTTCATGGATTTTTAAGGTTGTGATTCAAATTTCCTTGCTAGATGCGCTACAAGTAAGACGTTTGTAAAATGGAAACTTTATTCATTTTATCAGTTTAATATGACTAGTAACTATATTCAGCTTTTCAATTCCATGTTGTATTACACACGAGAGTGTGGATGAGTGTGGGTATAGATATATATGTGTGGAGATGGGTGTGAGTCTCCTCTTGAAACGCGCTCACACCCACTTTCTCACGAAGTGATGAATTATACCCACACTCGCACGCCGACTAATTCATTACCTGTGAAACCATGGCATGGCTCTCTGGAATTCTGCACAGCTGTGTATACCATAGTGTCTATATTATGTAATAAAATTTTTATATATTCAACAACGTTAACGAAGGGCAAGAATTGTTTCTTCTCATATCCTTCGATTCATACTAACACTTTGCACGCTTCCTTGCCAGCATTGACAAAGCGATGTATTGGAAATTCATTAATCATATTTCAAAGCAAATAGCAAAAGTGAAACATAAATGAAAACAGTACTCTGTTTTCTTTTCTGCCTCTAAAGCTTCTTCCAACATAAGACTGATAACAGTAAAATCGAAGAAGTAAGGTGAGATATTAGTTGATAACAAACTCGCAGGATAATAACAGCATGAATCAAGTTCTTTATTTTGCTAATATTTGCTTTTATTATGTAACGAAGAAAGTGCACAGTACAGCATAAAATTAAATACGTAATAAATAGAAAGAATACAAAGAATAAGAAAAGGATGGTGAGTGATGATTGTGGAATAAAAAGCAAAAATATGCATACAAGAATATTTTATCATAGAGTCGGATAAAACGAAAAGGACGATCGAAAGAGAATTGAAAACCTTTCACAATAAGTGATTGATAACAATATCGCATATCGTAAAATTCGATGAACACTTTGATGATTAGTGGTTCATATATTTATCACTTATGTTGTTTTTGATCGCATAACTATAATAAATGAGGAACTGCAACTTCGATAAAAAGAAAGAGTTCGGCTAAGGATTAACAGTCGGAAACACTACTGTTGTATCTTCCGTCAAATCCTTTATTTACCAACTGATGGTTTGACATAATAGTTTTGTTGCAGTGTAATATGCAGATCACACTGAAAGAAAGCACTTACTTCATATGTTTATTTGGTAATAAATTTCATACAAAGTATGGTAAGGAAAAAAGGTAGAGATAAGAAAGACTTTTCTACAGGTGTAAGATGGAAAAAACCTTGTAACTTTGCCAACGACACATAAAAGACGCAACCTGTTGAAGGCATACAGAACAAAATTCGCACACACTAGCGTCACCGATCAAGTATTTATATTTGATTTGTTAAATTATTAGGCCTAGCATAAAGTAACGGAAACTTAAAGAATACATGAATGAGTTCAATGACTAAATCCTTTGCTATGACTCATTTCAACACAGAAACTCGTTTGAGCGCAAATTGTGTTTGCCTACTCGTGTCCAAATCTCTGTGACGGCTCTGGGACTAAAATAAAAGCAGATAAATTGTAGAAATAAGTCAGAGTACGAATGCGTATGAATGTTGCTGCGAAGCCGATAAAAGTGATCTACATTCACATCCTGTGGATATTATTACATTGACGTTATTTGTTTTTTTGTAACATAAATTTCAGTTGAAGATCTATAAAACATGGCATTGGGTCTCAGTTTTTTTGGCTCTTCATTGGTATTCTTACCAAAGATAGTTCTTCTTTGAATGGTTTTTATAAGAGTGACTGAGTCGAAATTTACTCGTTGAATATAATAAAGAGCAAAATATCCTAAAGAACGATATTAATGATAGTTGACTTACGTTTCCTCAAGCGTATCTACTGTTGAAAATGTTACCCACGTTATATCGTCATGCACAATCAAAAATTTTCGATGTTGAAGCTTTTCTAGACGCATTACATCGTTATGGAATTATGGCAACACCATGGCGACAAGACTGGCGTTATGTACTCTTGATAGATGAAAATACAAAGACCGGTCCATTCACAATGGATTTAATCGAACCACATATTGCTTTAGCACATGATCGTATTGATTTTGATGTTAGTAATTTATCATTAGAACGAGGATATACAAAAGATTTGGGTATGCGGGGCGATATCACAGGTGGATCATATCCAATTCAACTTGAAACGATTGTTGAAAATATTCGTAATAAAAATTTTCAAGTTTTACGACCAGTTGATGGTGAAAACGGACCAAATACGTCGGGAACAGTGGCTGAAAGAATTGAGAAGATGAAATCAAGAGGATGGACACAAATTGGTACGCCGTTCTCGTTTATTCCAGATCCCCCATCAACTTATAATGCCGTTCTCGTACCTTATCCATCGACCACATTACTCTATCAAAATCTCGTTACTGAGATGAAAAAAATACCTCAAGCACAAGTGATATCAATTGAACAAATAAAAAATCCGAATATTGAAGCGTTGTATGAATATATGAAACGAACCATAGCAAAAGAATGTCCAGGTAATGATCCTAGAGAACGAGAATTATTTCATGGTACTAGTGGTGAAGCAATTCAAGGAATCATTGACAGAGGTTTTGATGATCGATACTTTTCTCCATCTGGAGCATGGGGTATGTGTATAATTTCATTGAAATATTCTAGGCGCATGCAAATCTAGATTCAAATCTATAAATATTTAGGACGTGGCGCATACTTTGCCGATGATCCTCGAAAATCGAATTTGTTTGCACGACCCGATCCAACCACACAGCGTCGCGTTATTTTTTACAACAAAGTTTTATTGGGTGTTGAATCCGTACAAACACAACCGAACAATTCAATTAGTGCAGCACCACTAAATCATCATTCTGTTCATGGTACTGGATTTCAATACCATGAATACATCGTCTATCGATATGGTCAAGCCTTGGCATACTTAAAAATTACTTATACAGCACCGTAATAAGATTTTTATAGTTTTTTTATTCAAGAATATCTTCTATTGAATGTGTTTTAATAATAAAAAAACATGACATCATTCGATTCTCAGTAGAAAGACCTAATGACAGCATTAATAAATTTATACTTAGTCAGTCAACTTAAGAACATTTATTCATCTTTTCATAAATCGAGACGACTTGGGAGAATCAGCAGTCAGCCACTATGCAATTGTTCATTTTAATATCTCCAGTCAAAAACGAAATCAAAAAGCCGAACAACTCATCGCACTTTCCTAGATCGACAAGTTTTAGTCTTAGGGTGTGGCTATGGGTGAGGGTGAGGATGCGAATGTGGGAGAGAGTATGGGTGGAGTGTGAGTGTAGGTTATGGATATCTCTTCTCTCACATCCACCTCCATCCTAAAACTCTCATAGAAGATAATCTACGCGAGACATTTTAGAATTACTAAATGCTTAATCAAAATCATCTACATTTTATTGCCTTTATCGACAATCATCCATTCAGATCAAACGATTACAAATCAAAATAATACGTATGATTTAGATATGAACAAGATTTTTGTTATTAACTGGATTTCTCTTTTTTCCTCGTTGTAGATTCAATAAATCCAAAGAACATTTTTGTTTTTCTTATTGAATCTCGAATCACATAGAAAAGACTATTCAAACGATTGAACACGTTTTGGCTTGGTGTATGTAATTACAAGTAGATTCCAGTAGGACTAAAAATGGTGGTATGAGAATATGATATTTCAACGATTTTCGCAGATGTTTTTGCCAATTCCATTCGTATTTCTCAATTTTCAATCAAAACATAAATTACTTTTCACTGTATAAACTGTCAGATGGTCTGTTGATGACTTTCTTATTGATTATTGCTGTTGTGTATTGGTTAAACAGAAAATATGACATGATTATGTGTAGGATGAAATAACAAGTTAAGATGGGGTGTGGATGAATATGCATGTGGCTGGGTGGGGGTCGGTGGGGAATAAGAATAGATCCTCACACACCCACACCCACATCCCATCCACATCCACACCCATATCCATATCCCACACCCACACCCCACATCCACCCACACCCACACCCCACACCTATACCCACATCCCACACTCACACCCTACGTGCCAGATAATTCGAAAAGCCAAAATCAATAGGGTCTTCTTCGTCCTTGAAATGATTCTGAAAATGAATTTCACGATTCTCTTCACTTCTAGTACACCTCACTGATCCACACAATACATTGTTGTCATTTCATCTAGCATAGTTATAACTCAAATTAATCCTGTGGGTTGATATTGATTTAATTTTTTGACCAACCATCTCAGTTAGCAATAAAAAAGTGTTTCTTCAGTAGATCAGTTGTCGATTTAGAAAAATTCAACACGAACTCTGACTTACAGGTGACAATCACACCCACATAATTAATTGAATAATTATGATTTGAATAGAATAACAAACAAATAAATAAATCAATCGTCTCTTTCTAAACATAAGACATTTTTCAATGATTGTTGGTTTACAGAATAAGTTTCAAGTCTTTATTTGTTTCGAGTGCTTCTTGAAGTTTGACTTTCCCCGAATCAGATATATTACAAAATCTTATATCGAGGACTTTCAACGATCGGTTATGCTTGATTATTTCAACTAGTAAATCGATACTCACATCACTCACGAACTTATTTTCGGCCATCTCCAATTGTTCCAAAGTTGTATTATATTTTGTTAGAGCATCAGTTAAATATATCATTCCTCGATCGCCTATTTCATTGCCTTCCAATTGTAAATGAGTTAATGTACGATTTTTCTGAAGCATCACACCAAGATCCTCTGCACCAACATCTGTAAGACCAATCGAATTAAGGCCAAGTATTTTGAGAGTTTGATTGTTTGATGTGAGTATCTGTGCAAGAGAATATATACCCTCATCAAATAAACGATTACCATGTAGATATAATGTATGCAATTTTGAATTGTCGTTCAATGCCGAAGCTAGAATTGACATGCCTTCCGACGTAATTTCGTTGTCCCGTAAGTCGAGAAGAGTGCATTGTCTCTTTTGAATCGCATGTTTAACAATAACTTCCATGTCTTGATCATTTAACTTTTGACTATTTAATTGTATTGATAAATTATTTTCATGACATAGAAATTGCTCGATTTGATCTTCAAGTGTCAAATTGGAATAGTACGAAGTCATAATCAATATAAATTCTACAATGAGATGGCTGTTTGTCATTTTAATAGATTCATATGTGAAAAAGCACACAAAGATCTATTGCAGTAATGCAAAAGAAGTTTTATTTCTTTTTTTCTTAATGAATGAATACATATTACTAAAAAATTATTGATAAGTGTCATTTTGGATCACTTACTGGTTATTTTTTTCCATCTCAAACATATCAGACATGAACAGTAATGTGAAAAAGAGAATACATCCTATTCCGCGATGTTGTACATTGCGGAATCAATTCCGCCCCCCAAAATTAGTTCTATCCGATTCAGAAATTCCGACATCATCAAACTAACTCGGCTTATTCGACAACGATCGAGTTTCCTCAATTTTCGGAATTGTCAGAATTCCGACCGATTTCGGAATTCCGTCTTATCCCCACCCTCAGCTTGCCTTGTATAGTTAAAGATAAATATCTGAAGTCTGCGAGCGATTTCCCAACAGAATTTCGAGAATTAGATCAAAGCGGGATTAGATGGAATCAGACGGAATTTCGATCAATTCCAAGTGATTCCGTCCGATTCCGGAACTTCTTCTCACCCTCACCCTCAGCTTGCCTTGTGTAGTAAAAGATAAATATCTAAAATAAGTGAGCGATTCCCGAACGGAATTCCCCGAATTAGATCGAAGTGGCATTACACGGAATCGGATGGAACTGATTTTGGGGGACAGAATTGAATCCGCAATGTGCAAAATCGCGGAATAGGATGACTGCTCGTGAAAAATCAAGAAAATAAAATTCTACAGACAAGCATTGCACAGAGTTTTATTTTCCAGCTGACTCTTCATTCCAATTCATCGACATGCGGCTTCGTCATGAGCAGAAAAAAAAACCTGTGATTACAATCTGGGTTGCAAAAAAGAAATAGTCGAGAAAACATTAAGGTTGCACTGCTACAATCATCATGACAACAATAGAACAAAAGAAAGAAAAAAAAAGCTGTTTCATGGCCTGTCTTCTATTGACTTTTAAAAAAAGAAGTAAATAGAAATCAAATAGAAAAATTGTCGAGTGAAATCTAAACTAAAATTCGCCAATTGTTGACCAGCATGAGAAAACGAACGAAAGAGGTTGTAAATATTTCGTCACAATGTTTCTTAACCTATTGTTTTCATTTAAATCAATTGGTGTCCGTCATTCAAGATTGAGCCATATATTTCGACACATTTCTTTACTACGCCCATGGAGACAGGCGATCTGACAGATACTTTTATGAACGACTATTAAAACTAATTTGGTACAAATATAGCTTTTATATTCTTTTGTATTTTCATCTTCTAATCGTCTAGCGGAAAGAGCTCATTTAGAGTATAGTACTTTTTCTTTCGTATGGAATGCACTAATTTTTGTTCATTTTGACTGTATTTCTTTTTATGTATATTTTTTTTGGTTCGTTTTGGCTAATGCCATATTCTTATGTAAATTTCACATTTCAGTTTCATAAGAATATGTATTGGCACGGTTACGTATTCGTAACTATTGCCAATTAAGAAAGCAGTTTATTAAAATAATTTCTTGCTCTACACTCACTGTGTTGATCGAGTAAGGTAGTTGAAACTTAAAGTGAGCTTTTTTTATTCTAAATAATTCTATTTCTTATTACTAAACAAATTGGTTAAAATGATGATTTCCTACAATTCAATTAAGATTGATTAAAGTTGGAGATAACGGTTTTTAAAAATGTGAGTATGATCAATCATAGAACAAAAGAGAAGTAAGTATTTTTCGAGAAAGAAATAAGAAAGATAGCAATAGTTCTTATCTTGAGAAAAGAGTTCTAAAAAACTTTGCCTAGCTGTGAACAATATTCGGCATCACCCACCCGAACTTCTTTCCGGTTGATCTAAACACATGAATCTTGTCACGAGAACAGTAGATGGAAAATTAAAGATCAATTGATATGAGTTGTTACTGATTGCTTGTTTAGGATAAAACTAAGATAAGTGAAATTTCGCAGGTATTTAATTTTATCTAAGAACTGAATAAATACTGCAAATAATTTGTAGATCTGAAACCGTCCTTTATGGCGTACTTCAAAATTCATTAATGTATCGTTGAAGTTCTACCAATACCATCCATTTCATATGCAGAAAAGTGATTGAACTCAGTTCTGTTTTGTTGTTATAGAAGCTATATCAAACTTGATTATCATCTGTAGAGGCTATAATAACTAAAAAGAAATTTATTTATTCAGCTGTACCTAAATTTTCTGAACGTCCTTTTTATGTAATAGTCGCAAACTCGTAAATATTTCTTCGGAGAGGTACAAAGAAAAGAGTTCACAATAGAAAAATGTAAAATTGATACTAATATTCAATTAAGCCTCTTTGATAAGTATACCATAGGGTCGAATATCTTCAGGATTCGGTACTATCCATATGTTCTTGTCAGAAGCAAATTCGACACTGTCAGGATTTACAGCTACTTGCAACATACATTTAAAACTTTTTTTTCCTTGTTGTGTATCGCATTGAACAACTCCAACATATCCCTGTTCAGGAAATCTAGGATCTGGAGAACAGTAAACCCCCGATCCGTATGCCGCAACTCTTGTCGTACGAAACCTAGTTTTGTGGATATTTGCGATAGCATCGACAGGCGCATATTGTTTCTCGAAAGATTGATCATTTTTGTTAAAATCTGCTGCCGATGCACGTCCTGTTCCATGAAAAGCTCTGTACCAATTACGAGGATCTTGAAATGGCTCTAACCAACAAGTAACGTTCGTCGCATTGACTCGCTTGACCCTCGACTGAATGGCTTAG